GTGTGTGTGTGTGTGTGGGTGTGTGTGTGTGTGTGTGTGTGCGCGTGTGTGTATAAACATGGTTTTAAACTACAGACTGTGAAGGCTCTGCTAAGACTTCACTTCTTATTTAGGACAGATTGCTTGTCTTGCTACTTGTCTTTCAGTCTGCTGCAATTACAGGGATTTCAAGATAAAGTTCTCTTTTTATGTCAGAAAACTATGACATTTAACAGTATAAAGTACAGTATGAAGTATTAAATTAGTAGTTCTCATTTAAACAGTACAATACAGACATTCAAATCACTCAAGTTTTAAAAAGAAAACATTCAGATTGTTACAAAGCAGAATCAGCATTGGAAAAATTAAATATTGATTAATTACTTGTACTGTGCTAAAATAAAATCAACTCACCATATACCTGCTCAAACCTAAGATTTTGGAATATAATAAACTAAACTGTTCTTTTTAAAAAATAATGAATACATAATCCTTTGTAATGTTTGCCTCTGATTCTTCTTAGATGGTGAAGGCCATTCAGGTTTTGCGGATCCACCTCCTGGAGTTAGAAAAGGTCAATGAACTCTGTAAGGATTTCTGCAACCGTTACATCACATGTCTCAAGACAAAGATGCACAGTGACAACCTTCTTCGTAACAACCTTGGAGGACCATATTCTCCATCCCATACCAGTCTCAGCATGCAGCAGGTCAGTTATGCATGAAATACATGATACTGCATTTGATACAATTGATCATAATATTCTACTACAGAGGCTTGAACTAGGCATCGGGATTACAGGAACGGCTCTAAAATGATTTAAAGCTTATTTTTGCGACAGATTCTCATTTGTAAATGTTAATAATGAAACTTCTTCTTACACCAAAATTAGTCATGGAGTTCCTCAGGGTTCAGTGATTGGAACATTCCTCTTTACTTTCTATATGCTTCCATTAGGTAAAGTTATTAAACAGCATGGGATAAATTTCCATTGTTATGTTGATGATACTCAGTTATATTTAACCATGAAACTTGATGAATCAAATTAGTTACTTGAATTAGAAGAATGTCTTATGCCTCGACCGTCTGGGTTAGAGGATCAGGAAAAAGACACGAACAAACACAGGACCGGTCCAGGTGTATTTTCCTCTCGAAGAGACACAAAGAAAACATGTTATTGATAAAAATAATTACAGTTTTTCTGCATCATTTTTAGGCAAGATGTGATATTTTAATTTCAGTTATATTACGCAGGTAAAAGAAGGTGGTCTTGGTAACATTTCTAATGTGGGAGTTAAAAGACATGTCCTGATCAAAAATAACACCAAGGTTCTTTCCATTAGAACTGAGGGTCAGATTAATGACATCTAGTCATGTTGATGGTTTGGATATATCATAACACCATTCTCCTTGAAAAGCTACATAAATATGGCATTGGAGGACCAGCACTAGAGTGGGTATCTGGTTATTTGAAAGGGAACAGTTTGTACAAATAAATGATGTAAGATCTGAACTATGTAATATCACATGTGGAGTTCCTCTGGGTTCTGTATTTGGACCAAAGTTATTTATTTTAAATTTGAAGGACTTGGTACATAAATGTATCAGGGCTTTTTAAGTGTGTTCTGTTTGCAGATGATACTACATTCAATTGTTTGGGTAAAGATATGTAATGGATGTTGCAGATAACACAGACAAAATTTGTAAAATATAAACTTGGTTTAAACTTAATAAAATATCATTAAATTTGGAGAATATTGATATTCAGTAAGAAAATTCTTGATGTTCCATTTAAAGTTGATGTTGTTGAGATTTGTTGAGTCAGTGAGGTGAAGTTTCTGGGTGTTATCATTGATCAAAAGCCAACATGGAAATCTCATACAAATTTTTTAAAAACAAAAATAGTTAAATCTATTGCAGTACTGAACAAAGTAAGGGAGTTATTTGATGATAAAGTTCTGTATATGTTGTATAATGCAATAATTGTTCCACAATTTATTGTAGTGATGTTTGAGGTAAAGCATGCAAAACAATTACAAATCCTGTTTTTGTTTTACGGAAAAGAGCCGTTAGAATTATCACCAGAAAACATTACAGTCACCCATCAAATATATTATTTTATCAGTTGACATTACTGAAGTTCTATGATTTGGTTGATTATAATATTTTATCCATTATGTATCAAGTTAATAAAAGCACATTACCTCTTATCCAATTTTATTTTATTAAAAGAGAGATGTTACAATAGACATGGGCATAGTGGAGAGAGATGTTTGTAAAACATAACTTTTGAACCAGTTTAAAGGAATGGTATACTTTAATCCAAGGAATAAAATTATGGAACAATCAAGAGAGTGATGTTAAAAATGTCAGATCAATGTGTGTGTTTAAGGGAATGATCAAAGTTGGTTTGTTGAAAAAATATGAAATGGTATAATTTGTATCTATAAATTTTTGATCAGGAAGGAGTTAACTATTTTTTTTTATTTGAAGATTATTATTGTTCGAATTAATTTATTGGAAAAAAGGGGTAGATATAAGATTTTTTTCTTTCTGCTGCCTTTCATTTTAGTTGTGATTTCTATTTCTTGTGTATAGAATTTGTTTTTTTTTTAAGAAATGAATAAACATTATAAAACTAAAATAAAATAAAAAATAATATCATTCAGTGAGCTCAACAGGACAAAAACTGTCCAAACCTAAATCAGGTTCTAGTGATATTTCTAAAGCTGCCTGATCTGTCAGAGAATCAATAGCAGGAAGTTTGGCTTGAATTTTACAGTATCTCTAATTTAAATAATTTTATCTATAAAGAATGTCATGAAGTAATAACTACTTAGAGTTATAGGGATACATGGCTCAACAGAGATAGGACTTTTCATTAGTCTAGCTACAGTACTGAACAGAAACCTGGGATTGTTTTTATTCTCTTTTATTAAATATGAATAATATGCTGTTCTAGCTTTACAAAGAGCTTTCTTATATGTTAGTAGGCTGTCTCTCCAGGTAAAGTAAAATTATTCTATGTTAGCAGAGCACCATTTTCTTTTCAGCTGTCTAGATTCCTGTTTTAATGAATGTAACTCTGAATTAAACCAAGGTGTGGTCTTCCTCTGATTGATAACTTTCTTTTACAGAGGAGCAATTTCATCAAGAGAGGTTTGCATTAAAGTTGTAATATTATCAATAAGATCATCTAAGTTACTGCTTTCTGTTACATTACTCTGTGAGACAGAGGGAAAAAATGGAAAAGATTCTTTAAAGGGGCAATATTATGTGTTTTTTAGGCATATATTCAAATTTTATACTATAATAAAGTATCTTTGTCACCTTTAGTTGTTATTAAAATGCACTTTTCATGTTTAAATAGAAAATACATTTGTCTTCTCATCATTTCCATTTCTAAACACCTTGAAATTGGCCTCTGTTTCTTTAAGAACTTCCTTCCGCTTCTGTCCTGCCCATTTAAACACGTCATCACAGCCGCTTCTCTCTACAGGAGTCTGCTGTTTATAACCTGTAGCCTCGTAGCAGAATTTGTTATAAAGATAATAAAAAAGAAGCAACATTATATAATTTCTGTTTTGTAAAATTGCATCTATGGATACATATGAACCTTACTGTTGGACCAGAAAGTATGTTTTCTAAAGAACCAGAGCGATTACCGAGACAACGTCTCAGCTGATAAAATTATTTCAGTCATTCTCACAGACACACACTACTGATCGTAATAAGTTACAAATCTGAACACAGACCAAACAAGGATGTGAACAAAACAACATGAATTGCTTTTCAGCTTACCTGAAGATGACAAGTGTTTACTTAGTTGGTGCCGATAGACTGCAGGAGTGTGTGTGTGGGGGCGGGGGTCAAAGGTATTTTTAATCTGAAAAGGGCTGTAGTATTAAGGGTTCAGCAGAGAGTTTCAGTTTCACCAGTTGTTTTTTGCTTTGTTGCTGCCAAGAGCCTGGAGGAGACACGGTGCAGGGGGTGGGTAGGTGTGCTCTGTGATGAGGAGGCTCAGTTTGGAGACACAGCCCAGAGGGGGAGCTAGTCTCAAATGGCGATTCTAGTACCAACTAGTCGTTTTTGCTCCCTTGCCTAGCTGCCTCAGGACACCACAGGATTTCTCAAACATGCATGAATGAGTCAAAGCAAGACTCTGGACATGTATTTGATGAGAGGATATTATATAAAGTTCAAGAAAGTTGATTTTACATGATATAGCCCCTTTAAGTAGATCTGAAAGTCATCAGCAGAAGAATGAAAAGAGATTTTGAAATTTCTAAAAAAAAAAATGAGCCAAAGGGGAGCATATAAATAGAAAATATAAAAGGTACAAGAATGGATCATTGGAGAACTTCACATGTGAAAGGGGAATGAGGAGGAAACAAATTCTCAGAGACTTACAGAGAAACTCCTGTCAGACAGATAAGACCTGAACAAGTCAAAGGCAGAGCCTTTGATACCACAGAGCTCCAGCCTGGAGATCAAAATGTTATGGGGAGCTGTGTCAAAGGCAGCTGTCAGGTCTAAAAAGGATAGACCAGTTGTCTCCTGAATCTGTAGATAATAAAAATCATTATAAACATTTAGAGGTACAGTCATGTACTGTGAAGGGCTTTAGTACCAGATTCAAGCATGAATCAGTCTGATATTAAGAATACTGTGAGCATTAAAAAGTACTACAGTTAGCTTAAAATTACCCTTTCTATAAATTGTGATTAAAAGGAACTAGTTGGAAAAGCAACATTTGGACATGAAGATGTCTTCATATTCTTAACTATTTTCTCCAGCTGGTTAAAAGACACCGGCTCATACTGATTAAAGACCCAGTAAACACAAGACAGTGATCAGAAAACATATAGTATCATCGTTACGAATTGGCAAAAATGAACCCAGGGTGCAAGCAGCTTCAAAAAGGAAAAAAAAGATTTATTAAACAAAAATTGCTGACAGGGCAGCACAAAAACTCACTGGGTGTAGCGTGGCAAGGCAAGGCAACAAACATACAGACTGAGAACAGCACAATGATCAGACAGGGAAGTGGAGACAAGACTCAGAATATAAAAGGTGAGACTAACGAGCACAAACAGGAAACACCTGGGAGAGAAACATGAGGAGCAGGTGAGAGTGGGCGGGGCTGGAGCAAAGGCAAACAGGAGGAAGAAAACAGATGACAAGACAGAAACTAAAATAAAACATTAACACAGACACAAATCATAACAATCATCACAAACCTTTGTGTTTAAAACCTTAATTTCATATATTTTTTTAAAAGAGCAATGCACATTGATCAATATTTCAGAAATATAAATGTGCCAGACATAGCACAATAGACTATCCAGTAGACTGGACAGAGTTTAATAAAACTTTCAGAAAGTAATCACTGGATGTCCATCTAGAACTGATTAAATTTTGGAGACACACAAGTTTAAGATGTCCGTCTAAACAAATAATAAAATAGTCAACACAGAAACTCTTTTAAACTCAATCAATTTTACAGCTATTTTGGTGGTAACAGTCATTCACAACACATACACTGAGCTCTAACTCTTAAGGCTGCATCACATGGCAAGATTTTCAAATTGTCGTCCAATTTTCAAAAACTGAGACCCCACATGAGGATAAAAAATCATGGATATACCGGGTTTGGTCCTACAGTGTGTTATGTACAGCCACACGGCAAGAGACAACACACCACACATGAAAAGATGAATGAAATATTCATGAACATTTAGATGTAAGATGTGATATCATGACGGACTTCCTGAAATCTTGCGAGAATTCAGATGTCAGAGGAAAAAATCTCCACCTCCAGAGAGGTGTGAGTTCTGAGTAAATAAACATTTGCGATGAGGAAGAAACAATACTGATCACTTGTGGACTATTTTTACCAGAGGAAAAACAATTCCATAGAATTTTTAACATCCAGCGGACTTACTTTTGACCAAAAGATTATTCTACTTTAAAACTCAGGTGATATGTATATTTTCATCAAATGCTAGGACTTCAATAAATTGTTTTTATTTGACACTTTCACTGTTTTAAGTGCACTTACATTTCTATATTGTATTTTTTTTTTACTTCAAACAGGTCTTTTTAAAAAATGAGATCTTGCTTTTTAACAAGTATATCTGTGTGAAGGTGAACTAAACAAATGTTCATTATTGCCTCCTTCTGTGACTCTCCAGGAACTAATCCAGACCTCCTCCCCATCCATGACCTCTGTCTCCAGCTCTGGTAACCCTTCAGGAAGTGTGTTGTCTGTCGGAGGTCTGCAACAGGGCAGTGTCACCATGACCTCTGTCAACTCACAAGTGGTGTCAGGTAACCGTCTGACTGCACACATACCGGCCCAATTTTTAATATGAAGCATGAACAGGGATTATCCTTCGTGCTAACATTTTCTAACATCTATGATATCCATTAGTGGAACAATCTCGTTTCTGATCCACATACATGAGTTTTCACAATGTTTTCAATCAATGACTACTGCAGTCTCCAAATTGTTATTTTCCTTACATGAAAACCAGAAGATGCATTTTTATAGAAATGTGACTTGACTGCCTGCTTTTTATTACACATATTAAGGTATTTTTTAGATTTTGTGATACTGCTAATGCAACAGAAATCTTTTCATGTCTGCCATTAGTTAACAACTAGATGTCACATTTTTATAAGTGAAACAATGTTGTGGATATTTTTCCTTTAACTCAAAACATTTCACTTTTCCTTTACGGAACAACAAGTTTCTGGTTAAAATTTACTTCTATCAAAGTGTATCTCCACCTTGCAAGCAGTGGTTGACATTTTTTAACCATACAATTAGTACAGTATGTGTACGTATTATTATAGGCACCATCTCCCTGCAACCCTACACGGGACATTTTTTTATACCAGCTTGAGCTGGTATAAAACAAATAGGGATAGAACTTTGGTGACATGCAAATATTTATTTAACAAAGACAGAAATGTGTGGTCCAAGAATGAAGGTACTCCATTGGGTAACATTTTCTTTTTCTGTCCCTAATTACCATGCAATAACATGGTAATTATGGATTATGGATTTAACCACTGTTCGGGTTTTTTTTAACCTAGGAACTCAGAGAGACACAGCAAAACCCGGCCGAACATTAAATCAATGACAACAGAGGCAAGTGAGATTTTTTAAGATTCACTTTGCAAAGAGGAGAACCCATGCACTTAGCTTTGCTCTGATGAGCTCAGAGAAGTCCAATGAAGTTCTGACCTCTGTGGCCGTGATCAGTTCTTTTATTAAAATACGTAAATGTTGCGTCACAAGTAAAACAACGAATCAACATCATTTGCTGGAGATATCACAAAACACAGGAGCCAATGAAAACGCTGTTACTGGGGTTACGGTGTCTTTATAAAAAACCATGAATACTTGTTTTTGTACTGGACAGTGGAAACTT